ATGTTATAAGATAAAGGATTTAATTTAAATATTCAACTTATTCTAAAATTTTATGGCTAATCCAGGTAAAGTGTGTATTTATAACCCGAATAGGAGTCTTTTACTATAAAGTTCTAGTAAAATAGTGTTTAAGACAGACACTGGTATTAATCACGAGGTTATAAACAATCATTTAAATAAAAATATTTATATGGTTCTTATATCTCTTTTACCTTTTCCCCTGCTTTGCAAGGATCAAGGGGCTGAATTATTATTAGGCGCAAATGATTCGTGACTTAATCCTACATCAATTAGATAATTAATAGACTTACAAAGAGGACATGTCACTTGTTCTATTTTTTTCCCTTTTTTTTAGTTATAAATATTATCTTATTACGTGAATAGTATCATATAATAATAAAAAAAAGGGAAAAAATAATATAATGAGGATTGTATTAGTTTTTTTTTTCGCTTTTTAATAGTAGAACATAAAAGGCGTAAAATACCCAACACTGAATTAAAACAATTAAAAGCCTTAATTGATTTTAAGAAAGAACACCAGGTTACTTCGAATATTCTACCCCCCCTGCCAGGGGGCTGCTTTGCTGGGGGAAGAGTATTTATTTATGACAGAAATTTAAATTACTTATCTTTTAAAGCTAACTCTGTTAATGAACTAAGTAAACCTAGGTATAAATGTTAATAAAGGTGATAGTACCCTAAATTATATAGATGCTAATAGCACTGTTATTGGTTTAAGTTAAGTTACAACTTACTACCTGAAACAGAAAACCAATATTTATCGCCCCCTCACTCGGAGGGGGTAGAAGATTAGATAAAAAGATAAATTTAGTTTTAAAGATAAATCTCACGCTTGCTTTATTTTTTCCCTTTTTTTTAGTTATAAATATTATCTTATTACGTGAATAGTATCATATAATAATAAAAAAAAGGGAAAAAAAATAGGGGGAAAAAGGGTAGTGAAGCTATAAGCATTTAAGGTTTATCTTCGCGCGATGTGATTACTAAACGAGTAGTGTTATATAGTATTTAAGATAAAAATGGATCAGTACTAGCCTAGCAACTATTAAATCACATGACCATGCTTTTTCTCCCTCACTAAAAATATATATATATATTTTTAGTGAGTCATTCTTACGGATTTTTTTTTTTCGTGCCCCCCGTGTTGTTGTGCGTAGCAAAGAAGCAAAGGAGCAAAGAAAAAAAAAGGGTTACTTAATTAAGCGATAATCGGTGTAGAATTTAAATTCTGGTAGCCCTCCTGCATGTTTACTGTTCCCCCTGCTTTGCTGGGGGATAAGGGAGGGAAAAATATAAAATTTTATTCTTTTTATTTTATTGTTTTTATATTAATTCTCTTTTAATATATACGGAATAAATAAAAATCCAGGGTAGACGAAACGGTAAAGTCAAGAATTTTTGGTATTCTCATTTGGGTGTTCGAGTCGCCCTCCTGGAAATAATCGGTAAGTCATAAATTTCACTTTTACTTTTCCCTCATTAAAGATATATTTTTAATGAGGGAAAAGGTATATATATTTTTAGTGAGGGAAAGATATTTATTAGGGAGTGTTCGAATCACTCCTACGTAATTACAGCTAGCGAAGTCAAGCCGTATTTTTAAAGTATTATTATATTAACAAAATTTATATTAGATAAATAAATGAATAATGTTTATAATAAAAAGATTTTACTTTTTAGTGGATATAACTCAATGGTAGAGTGATTGTATGTGGCACAATTTGTTCCCTGTTCAAATCAGGGTATCCACCCATATTATATATTAAACAACATAAAAATTATATGCTTTTATATTTTTTTCTACTTTTCCCCTTACTAAAAATATAGATATATATTTTTTTTTAGTGAGGGCTCAGAAGTAGGGTTTTCAAATAAGTTATGCCTATGTATTTAATATTTCAAGATATACGTAATTTAATGTTTCAGATTATCTAGTATAATTGTAACGGTAAAGATACGCAAGCGTTAAATTTACCTTTACAATTATTTATTTTTTTAGAATAATATAAAAAAAAAAGACAAAAATAGATATATGCATGCTTCATCAACCTGCCATAGGATGTGTAGTAGAAACATAATAAATATACCACTATAAAGCATATAGGCATAATTATAATGAAAACTCTGTAGATGATACTATTTGCATTACTACATGTCCCCCCTGCTTTGCTGGGGGAAAGGATAAAATAAAGTTATTTTTTTTTTTTTTTTACTGTCTAAATATTATGAAGACAAATTTGTTTATTCATATTAAATAACGAAGAATAATTAACTATCTATATGTTTTATATTTTTATTGCTTTTTATAGTAAACTTAAAGGTGTTACGGCTTCTTCCTCTTCCAGAGGGGAGAGGGTGGGATAAGGACTTCGCATTGCTCCGCTAGCATAAAAAAAAGGTCTAAGCCTTTTTTTATTTATAATTTAAATGTTAAGGTCAATTAAGTTTATAGGTAGAAAAGTACAAAAAAGTTAAATAATTATGCCAGGATAGTTTAATTGGTTAAAACATTAATTTCATGCATTAATAATGAGAATTCAAATTTCTCTCCCGGCTTATTTATAGTATATTTATAAAGATATAAATATGCAATATGGTGGTAATATATTTATTTATATATTATGGTAGTTGTAGTGATAATACTCTTTTTTAAAGAGTATCTCGACATTTTTACAAAGTGAAAAGAGAATGTATTTAAACTCTCCCTAATTTCAATGTAAACTAATATTTTTTTTTTTCTTGCATACTCTTATTTATGTTATGCAAGAAAAAGCACAAAAAATAGCTGGCATTAGCACATATTTTTTTTTTATTTGGCTCCCTTCCCCTCCCCCCTAAAGGGGGGTGGGGATGGGCTCCGCCCCAACAACAAAAAGGTTTATAACTTAAATAATTGTGTTAACCACTTTTTATGTCTCTTGGCAGAGCTAGTTTTTCCTCCTCCTATTCACGAAGTAATAAATAAACAGCAGTAATAATAAAAGTAAAACATATTCATTAGTCTACCGGAGAAGTAAACAAAGGTAGTAGGGTAAACATACCCTGTCCCCCTATGCGAAGCAAGATTGCTTTATTTTTTCCCTTTTTTTTAGTTATAAATATTATCTTATTACGTGAATAGTATCATATAATAATAAAAAAAGGGAAAAAAAATAGGGGGAAGAGGATTTCCTACCTTTCCTATTTTAGTACTCTATATTTAATAGAATATAGTTGCAGTCTGATAAACCCTTATGGCGCAATTAAGCAAGTTTAAATTAGAAAAGTCTTTCTCAAACCGAGTTCAAATATCGGTTTGACTACTCAATTAGTGAGCTGGGATCGAAGGGACAGCTTCTTCCCCTTATTTTTTCCCTTTTTTTTTATAAGTAATTTTATTATTACGTATAAAAATTTATTATAATAATAAAAAAAAAGGGAAAAAATTAAAAGCAGGGGACGGAAATATAAGCTTAATAGTCTATATAAACCTGCTCCGTTATAACTACCGGGTCTCTTACCTTATAAATGGTTAGAAGCTTATACGCATTTAGTCTATCCGAGACTTCAGAAGAGGGGGAGGGAGACTCCTTCCCCCTCCTTAATAAATTATCCTATTTATTAGTAATATGTATAAGAATAATATAATACAAGATAAAATTTATAATCTTATACCACATTTTTACCTATTACTTAAACTTTCATCTATTTATAGATAAAAATCTAAACTTTAATAGGCTCGCCATTATTATATATTGCTTATATATAATGGTTAAATTAATTTTTAATATCAACTAACCTATAGCTAGTATAAAAAAGTCTCAAGAGACTTTTTTCTAGAGATAGTGAATCTGAACTTAATTTGGAAGTTAGCCAGCCCCATCGCTCTTTTGTTTTAAATAATATAAATATAAGCCTGAAGGAGGAAACCGTGTCGAATAGGCCGGCTGTGGATTCTAATCTTTCAGTTTTAAGGGCGAATATTTCACTCTGAACTGAGAGATGATTTTTATCCTCAAATGCCAAAGATATTGGTACACTATACCTTATCTTTGCCTTATTTTCTGGATTATTAGGTACAGCTTTTTCAGTATTAATAAGATTAGAATTAAGTGGACCTGGTGTTCAATATATAGCAGATAATCAACTATATAATGCTATCATTACTGCTCATGCTATATTAATGATATTCTTTATGGTCAAAAAAAATTAAGATATTTAATTTTTAATCGTAAGCATAGGGAAGATAAATTATGATAATCACGATATTGTAATCACAGGTAAATCTAATAACAATAATGGATAAAATCCTAAAAGTACTAAAAGTAATTCGGTTAAAATCTTAGTAGATGATCTTTTCAATATTAGAGACGTTATACTGAAAGTAACTAAAAAAACAAAAAGGTGTGCCATCTCTAAATAACTTAAATTCTCACACAGTTACAGGGTTTTTGGATGCTGAATCATGTTTTGTGTTTAGCACGCTTGTACAAGAAAATCGGAAATTTTTATATTATTGTTCTTTTTTTTTTTATCCTTTATTGTTTTATTATTTATCTAAAAGCTTTCTATAATTTATAATGGTATAAATCGAGCTTTATTTCATAGCGATTAAAAATTAAATCTAAAAAGGGCATGGCCGGGTAAGATTTAAAGATCTTACTTTATTTTCACTGTCTGCTAGAATCTCTTTAGAGCTTTTAAAACTAGTACTGCATACTTTCGTAACTTATTGCTAGACGAAAAGCGGCAGAATACAGTAACATATTAAAAGATTAGACAACTAGCTGGATATTAATAAATAAAAGGGCTCGGCGCAAGCTCTTATCCTTCGGATTAGAAGCCAGCATTAAACACTTTTATTTAGTAGTATCCTCAGAGACTACACGTGAAATACCTTAGTAAATATTGTATATTTTAAGGTAAAGATATAGTCCAAACATTAACTAAAGCTAATGAAAAAAAAAAAAAATTCCTCCCGATTAAAAATAAATTATTGTATGCCTGCATTAATCGGAGGTTTTGGTAATTTCTTATTACCATTGCTTGTAGGGGGTCCTGATATGGCATTCCCTAGACTAAACAATATTTCATTCTGGTTATTACCACCTAGTTTAATATTATTCTTATTTGCTAGTGGTATAGAAAATGGAGCGGGTACAGGTTGAACTCTCAATGGTAGGGAGTTGCTTTGGGGTGACCCAGAGGCAATAAAACTCTTCTCAATGATACGTGAACATCTTCAAGTGTTAAACTCTTCAGTTGAAACACACGTTATAGGCTACTCATGTTTATCAAAAATAACATATGTAAAAATGCCTATTGCACGGAGACAATACGCCTGACTAGATAAAGAAAATTATTCTAGTCATCAGAGACTAAACGAAGAGTATCTTAAGAACAATGAAGATTGATTTGAACAATGATTAGTCGGTATGACCGACGGAGATGGAAGTTTCACTATAGCTCGTCAAAATGATAAGTGAAGCCTTGTATTTAAAATAACTCAAAGTAGATACAACTTAAGGTTACTCTATTACATTAAAAGGCAATTAGGAGTTAGTACGGTTACTAAAGATAAAACCAAAGGACAAATACTTATTAGAGATAGGAAAAAAATTGCCAAGTTCATAATACCTATCTTCGATAAATATCCTCTTTTAACGAGTAAACAATTCAACTACGAAAAGTTTAAAAAAGCTTTTTATATATTGGAAGATAGTAGCTTATCTAGAGAAGAAAAAGATAATCAACTTTTTTACTTAAAAAATAAAGAAGTTGATCCTAATTATATTTCTCCTGTGTGAAACAAAGCATCTTTACCTTTAGAAAGTGTAAATGACCTTAACAATGTCATAACTAAACCTTGATTAGTTGGATTTATTGAAGCGGAAGGTAGTTTTTATTTAGTATCCAAAACAGCTACTAGAACCTGCCATGGTTTTGGTTTAACCCAAAAATTGGATAGCGTAGTTTTACAAGGTATTAAATTGCTACTACATATACCGAATGAGGTTAGATATAAACCAAACCATAATCACTATATATTAGATACTACTAACTCTAGAGCTATTGAGAATATAATAATTTATTTTAATAATACTATGAAAGGTATGAAATCTGTAGAATATAGGATATGAGCTAGAGCTTATACTAAACATAAAGGTGATCACGAAAAATTATCTAAAATTAGAGATATAGTTAGAAAGCTTAGAAGTAAGCTAGTGGAAACTTCACAATTTGAACCTTTTGATAAATAGTTGTTTTTAAGATAATGGTATAGTCCTAACAATATAAAGATATATTGAGTGTAACGATAGTTTTCATTCGTCATTTGCAGGATAAAAAAATATTTAGTAATGCTAAATGATAATAAAATGAGGTTACCAATACAATTGTTACCCTCCTTTATCAGGAGTACAAAGTCATAGTGGTCCAAGTGTTGACTTAGCCATATTTGCTTTACATTTATCAGGTATTAGTTCACTTCTTGGAGCTATAAACTTAACTTTTATTGGGCACCTATTTCTTTTACGCGTTAACTATGCAAGCTATATAAATAAATTTAACCTATATGTTTTAAAAGGGGGATCTAAAACTAAAAGTAGCTTATCTTTAAAAGCTAATTATAGTAGTAAATCTAATGGTGGAGGCGGTCCAGACCCAGAGATGGAACCAGAAAAGCCAAAACCTGAAAAAAAAGATAGTAATAAAAAATATAATTCATGACCTGTTATTTTAGGTAGAAAAGGTAATAACCTTTATGCTCATGAGTTAGCCAAAGCTCAAATTAAAAAAGGTACACCTGTAACAGTAGGGGTATTAAATGAAATATTAGCTTACTCTAATATGCTAGTTAGTGAAGATACACTAAATTCTTTAATTACTATGCCTAGATTTGTTTTTACTGATTTAGATAAAAAAGAAACTAGACGTTTAATTGATGATAAACTAGGTTTACCTCATAGTAAAATACAACAACGTGGTATTTATATCTTTACTTGTACAGATACAAATGAAAAGTATGTTGGTTCATCCTCAGAGTTAGCTTTGAGATTAAGAGGCTATTTAAATAAAACGCACAAGAATTCTGGTAAATTGATTCCTCTAATTGAAGAAAAAGGTTTACCTTGTTTTAAATTAGAAGTAGTTTGTTTACCCTATTACGCTGAGTTTAAACCTGAAATAGTTTTAGAACAATATTTTTTATTGGACCCTTCTTTTAATTTAAATACTATAAAGGTTTCAAATAATCCTAGTGGATCTACCGCAAAACCTTTATACATGTATAACAGAGATAAATCTATACTTTATTATTTTACTACACAACAAAAAGATTTTATATCTAAACTTAATATTAGCCATTTCACATTTACTAAACACTTAACTAAGGGTACTTATTATTTAGGTAAATATTTATTTTTGAGAGAACAAGTAGATACAGCAAAGGTTACAAATATGCTTCTACCTGATATAGCTCTAATGTTACAAAAAGATAGAGTTAACTTCAATAAAGATAAAGCCGTGAATAGTTCAAGTAAATCTGTGATATTAATGGATGTTGAAAGTAAAGAAGAAATTCTTTTTGAAAGTTTGGGTAAATGTATGGAATATTTTAAAAGTAAAAATATACCAGCGTCTCCTAAAACATTGGTTAAACATTTGAATACAAATATAGCTTACCTGTCCCCGAAGGGGAAAGGATATATTTGTAAATCTTGCCCCTAATCACCAAAAGTGAAGGAGGACAAGATAAAGTATAGTTATATGTAATAGAATTAGCAATACATAATGGGGTTTATATAAAACTTCTAACTATATGCTGGAACAGCATTAGTGTTTATAGGTTTAAATTATTTATAACCGGATAAACTATGCTCAATCAGCAGGAAACCCACAGATGTCATTAGATAATCTTAGTGGGATCCTCAGAGACTACACGTTAGACACCGTATCTAAACAGTTTGTTGTTGTGCACAAGCTCATACTATAGAAGAGCGTAAGTGCCTGTTTCACTTTTTTTTTTCAAAAGAATATAGAGGCAGACAACATTTAATAGATGCGCTGAAGATATAGTCCGCAATATTGGTTGTATTTTGTTGTATTCAAGATATAATCATTAAGTGTCATTACTACAATATTAAATATGAGAGCTCCAGGTATAAGCCTTCACAAACTAGCTTTATTTGGGTGAGCTGTAGTTGTTACTGCTGTATTATTATTACTATCTTTACCTGTACTAGCCGGTGCAATTACAATGGTACTTACAGATAGGAATTTTAACACATCATTCTTTGAAGCTGCTGGAGGTGGTGATCCAATACTTTACCAACATCTTTTCTCAAGACTAGTATTTGAAGAATATTTTATATTCTCAACGTTATTTATATTTCCTAGTTCTAACCAATCAATCTTTAAAAGATATATATCTAAATATGATTCTAATTTAAACAATAAGTTTGATTTTTCTGCATTTTTTATGAAATACAATACTCATTTGCCAAATAATCAAATTCCTTCCGAAAACTTTTTAACTTGATTAGTAGGTTTCACTGAAGGAGAAGGTTCTTTTATAGTAAACAATAGAGGAGATTTGGCATTTGTTATTACACAAGCTACAATAGATAAACAAGTTTTAGAATTTATACAAGAAATTCTGGGATTTGGTAAAGTTATTCGTCAATCGGCTATAACTAGTAGATATGTAACACAAAATAAGAAAGAAATAGACATTTTAGTTAGTTTATTTAATGGTAATCTTGTTTTACCAAAAAGACAAGAAACATTTGATCTTTTCGTTAAAGGGTTTAATAAATGAGTTACTAAAGGTAAAATACTCTTAGAACCTGTAGTAATTAATAATAGACCCATTCTACCTACTTTAAACGATGCATGGTTTGCAGGATTTACTGACGGAGAAGGTTGTTTTACTTGTTCAATTGGTGAAAAAAGAGGATTTAGTTTCAACTTTAATATTTCTCAAAAGTGAGAAATAAATCTAACAGTATTAGAGCATTTTAGTGTATTATTTAAAAATGGGATTGTTTCTAGACATTCAGAAGAGAATACTTATGAATTTAGATTAGGTGGAGTAAACAATTGTAAAAATGTCTTCTCTTATTTTGATAAATATACATTATATACTAAAAAGTCTTTATCCTATAAATTATGAAAGGATATTCATAATGATCTTATTAATAAAGATCATCTAGATGAGTCAAAAAGACGAGAAATGATTGAAAGAACTAAGATGATAAATAAATCAAACAATACTAATTCAAAATACTAGGGAAAAAAAGTCAAGGTTTAACGTGCAAGTTATGAAACTATAAAGACAGATGTAAAAAGATATAAGATCTGAAATAGTGAATATTATTATAAGAATATACCTAAGACTTAGTTAATATATATAAGTATTACTTGCAACTCTTAAGTTTAAAGGTTATATTCTTTTATATAAGACTTTAAACGTATTTTATAAATACAAGGAAAAGTAATAAAAATATTAGCGATGCTAGTGCAATTACGGTCAACAAGTTCCTCACTTAAAGACCGTCGGCTATTTAAGGGGTCGCTACAGACTGGTTCACTGGTGGGTGTCTGAAATGATGCTTAATGTACAGTCGGTTTCTTCTATCATAGGTGTATGATACACAAGCCCGGAGTTTATACTACCGGTACCTGGATTTAATAAGAGATGTTTTAAAAAGATAAGTTAAATTTGAAGAAATGGATTCTTCGGTCATCCAGAGGTCTACATATTAATTATACCAGGGTTTGGTATAATAAGTACTGTAATATCAGCTAGTTCTAATAAGAGCGTTTTCGGTTATCTTGGTATGGTCTACGCCATGATGTCGATAGGTGTATTAGGATTTGTTGTTTGAAGTTGAGTTTTGGCTTCGCCACATAGTGATATGTGGATTTACATTGTTTATTTTGCTATAAGCTGGAACGGTTTAGTGCTAATTGGTACCTTGAATGGTGAAAATTCAATTAGCTATACCCAATCAGCCGGCAATCTGTCCCTGTGCTCATTAAGGAGTAAAATACAAAGTGCTTCAGAGACTACACGCGAAACATCTTTTAATTTTTCAGCTTTTCATCTGCATTATAATACACTATTTGGAAATGCTGCACAACATTTATCCAATAACTGGTTAGCTTGATTTATTGGTTTTCAATTTTTTTTCTTTTTTTTATTTTAAATTATTTTTATTTATATTTATATATTATTTGTTGAAAAAAAAAAAGAAAAAAAAAAGGAAGGAGATGGTGCCATTCCAAGATGGCAGAGTTATTTGAGCAAATTCATGTGATTTATGGTCATCTTGGGAGTATTAAATTTATTATGGGGCTTAAATTTTGAATTGTTTTATTCAAATCATTCTTTTAATCTATTTTTAATAATGCCTTTAATAATATATAATAACGCAGAGGTTGAAAAATTGCGTATTTTAAAGGAAAATAAAGGTAAACCCGGGGTTTATTGTTGAGTAAATAAAGTTAATGGTTCTAAATATTTAGGTTCATCTAAAAATTTATACAGAAGGTTGTTACAATATTTTAACACTGAGTATTTACTTAAACATGAAAACATGGTTATTTGTAGGGCTTTACTTAAACATGGTTATTCCAATTTTAATCTTGAAATCCTTGAGTATTGTGATTCTAAGGATTTAATAATACGTGAACAGTACTATATAGATTTATTGAAGCCTGAATATAATATTTTAAATAAAGCCGGATCGCTATTAGGTTTTAAACATAGGGAAGAAACTATATCTAAGATGTCTATATCTAAAGTAGGAGAAAAAAATCCTATGTTTGGTAGAATAGGAGAAAAACACCCTATGTTTGGGAAAACAGGAGAAACAAATCCAATGTTCGGAAAACCAAGACCTGAAGGGTCTGGAAGTCCTTCTCAAAAAATCGAAGTAATTGATATTAAAAATAATATAACTACTGTATATGATTCTATAAGTGCAGCTGCATTAGCTTTAAATATTAAACAATCTAGAATTTCTATGTATTTTAGCCGAAATCAAAATAAACCTTACATATTGCGATATATTTTCAAAAAGTTGTAAACATCCCGGTATTATCTTTATTTAAGGATTTAAATAGAAAATAATTTTTATACCCTTTTTTCTTATATTTTTTTTATTGCTATATCGTTTAGATCAAATAAGACTCAGAAAATATTCGTTTATTCAAATCGTAGTTTCACCAACGGATAGATAATTCTTTTATTTCATTTTAGACGGTTTAGGTTAAGATAGAGAATATAAATCTCTTTTATTTTCATAATATTAAATAAGGTTGATATTCATAATTAAACACGAGGAGGGGTGTTATTGAATTTTTATATTTAAATTTTTTCAATTAAAAGGGTACAAGAGTACGTTTTTTTTCTTACTCAGAAGGGAAGTGCTATCCTTTTAGTGTTGTTAATTGAAAGATGTCATAGTGTGTTATTTTCTTGCTAAGTGGGTCACTAGTAGCGCTGATTATGTATAGTTAATTTACGGATGCTTCGCCAGCACCCATTTTACCAGCTTGGCCTTGTCAGACAGGGAGCTTATAGGGAAAATATAAATAAATATTTTGCTACATGCTGGGACGGTTTAGTGTTAATTGGTACCTTGAACGGTAAAAATTCAGTTAATTATACCCGATCAGCAGGGAAGGCCAATACCTTACTCAAAGTAGTAAAGGATATTGGAGTGCCTCAGAGACTATACGCAAAACATCTTTAATAAAAACAGAACAGGAGCTTAGATTCTAGGTCATATATTAGCTAGCATAAAGCTAGCCCATTCGAACTCTTAGATCAAATACGAACGGTGTTTATCGGTACAAGAGTGCGTTTTGTTCTTACTCAGAAGGAAAGTGCTATTCTTTTCTATATTCAGAAAAACTTAGGAGTAGGTCAAGTTAAGCATTTTCCACAAGGGAAAAGTGGTAACAAAAATGACTTCTATAGGTTAATTGTAGATAATCCATCACATATTCTTCTACTAGCCTTTTTATTTAATGGTAATTTAGCTCTTACTAACAGAATACAGCAATTATCTTTGTGAGTTCAAGCTTTAAACAATCGTTTTGGGGCAGATACAATTCTACTGGTTAATAAAGCTGTTTCAGTTACATTACAAGATGCTTGATTATCAGGTTTCACCTGTCCCCCCCCCGGGGGGGGAAAGCTGAAGGATGTTTTAATGTATCCATAACATCCAATGCAAGATATGCATTAGGTAATGTTATAAAAATGCGTTATATACTTGATCAGAAGGATAATGCTATTCTTACGACCATACAAAACCTTTTTGGATTTGGTAAAGTAACCCTTAGATCCAAAACGGACGGTGTTTATCGTTACACAGTTACAGGGTTCAAATCAATGAACGATGTGATATTTTACTTTAAAGCATTTCCATTACTTACAAAGAAGGCCCAATCTTTCGAGAAGTGATTAAGAATCCACACTATCGTTTCTAATAAATTACATCTCACTCAAGAAGGATTAGCCCGAGTAAGAGTATTACAGAAACAGATTAATATTGAGAATGGTATGACAAAAAAAACAGGATCTGCGCATCCTTAATGTTATTATTAAAAGATGAAGATATAGTCCGATTCTTCTTGTGAAAGGAGCGCATAGTTAAATAGCTAAGCGGGCAGATGTGAGGAATATCTGTTAACAATTTTGCATCACATGTACACAGTTGGTTTAGATGTAGATACAAGAGCATATTTTACAGCGGCTACTTTAATAATTGCTGTACCTACGGGAATTAAAATTTTCTCTTGATTGGCTACATGTTACGGAGGATCTTTACAATTAACTCCTTCAATGTTATTTGCTTTAGGTTTTGTTTTCATGTTTACAATCGGAGGGTTATTAAACAACTACTTAGCTCTCCCTCTGCTTTCAGATACGACGATCATATGCTGGGAAGCTCTAATAATTATGGTACTAGAGTCTTATTTAGTTTTAGTAATAATCCATAGTTTTGAACGATCAGCAGGAAACCTACGGCTTCTACCCTACAATAGAAATATTCAAGTTGGCGGGTCGGCTGGCCAGACGTGGGGCTCCTCAGAGACTAGACATAGTCATCATAATAAATTATGAGAAAATATAGTCCACGTAAAATTTTATTCATTAATCTTAAATAATAGGGCAGTCATAACTCGATCTTATTCTAACCTTAATAATGGGGGCATACTTGGGGTAGCACCCCAAGATAATACCCAAAATTTAAGGCCTGTAAAAGTTTATGGGAACTTTAAGGAAGATAGGGTTAAGATAACGAAGGAAGAATTAGGTAGGTCAGGTGTTTACTGTTTAATTAACAAGGTAGATGGCCACGCTTACGTAGGAAGTTCTATTAATTTAGCTTCTAGAATGAGAAATTATCTTAATAATGCTTATTTAAAAAGTAAGCAAAATATTAATATGCCAATTACAAGAGCTTTACTTAAGTACGATCAATCAAATTTTTCTCTTTTAATTCTAGAATATGTTGAATCTGCATCTTTAACTGCTAGAGAAACTTTTTATATTACACATATCATACCTTATTACAATGTTTTGAAACAAGGTTATTCTTCTTTAGGTTATAAACACACAGAGGAGGTTAAGAAGTTACTATCTAAATTAGCTAGTAATAGAGTGCATTCTGATAAGACCAAAGGTTTAATAGCAAGGGCTGTAACAGGTGAAAACAACCCTTTTTATAACAGAAACCATTCTATGGAAAGTAAGTTAAGGATGATTGAAGCTAACTCTGCTTACCCTGTCTATATCTATAATTCCTTTAAAGAGTTATTAGTTATTTTTCCTTCGGTTAGAACTTTAGCTAAATTAATTAAATCTAATCACCCTACATTAGTTAAATTTATCAAAGAACAAACAATACTTAGAGGTGAATGGTATTTAAATAATATACCTTACAATATAAGTGATACACCTAAAATAGCTGACTGGAGTTCAAAAGAATGTCAAGAATTATTATTAAATATTAATAATAATAGCCATATTTTAAAAGCAGTATTTGTATATGATCTTAACAGAAATTTCATAGGGAAATATGATGGTGTAATGGTTGCTCAAAGAGCTTTAAAAATATCTCATAGTACTATTAAAAATTATGCTAGGGTAGGTGGTGTATATAAAGGGTATATATTTAGTTATGAGAGATTAAGAGATTAACATAATAAAAGATTAATGAATATATTTTTACAAGTAAGTGGTGTTGTTTTAGCGAACGCATCTCTTGATATTGCATTCCACGATACTTACTATGTGGTTGCTCAAATGGGCCAGAATAATTTATCTTCTATTAAGAATTATTTTGCAACTGACTATATGCTGGAAACTATATTCTTTGTGTATTGTTTACTGTTTATTAATACGTTTTATCTTTATAAATTAGATGTTAGTAGGATTAATTTTCTTTTAAACAGTCAAAATAATGATACAACAATAAGCTCTAAGTTTATGAATATACAATCAGCAGAAAACTGTAAAGGATTCTCAGAGACTGCGCGTCAGTTACCAGATATAGGGGATTATAGGTTTTGAAATATAAAAAATAATACTTCGCTAAGTTTAGAGCTTATGAATATACAACCAGCAGGAAACCAAAAGGTAAATACTTTTACCCTAGTAGGATCCCCAGAGACTGGACGTCAGTTACCAGGTAACGAAGATTACCCAATTAGAAATTTAAATGCAGGTAGTATTAAACCATGGTTTATTACAGGGTTCGTAGATGCTGAAGGGTTATTTGGTATTAATATAAGAAAAACCTCAACTCATTTAGGTTGAAAGATTGAACCATTTTTTGTTATAGGTTTGCATACCAAGGAAAGAGCGGTCTTGGAACAGATTCGTAATTATTTTGGGGTAGGTCAAATTTATAAACAAGGTTCTAATGCTGTTCTGGACTATAAAGTTCAGTCAGTAAAAGATTTGGTATTTGTCATCAAGCATTTTGATAAATACCCCTTGATAACTCAAAAGAGGGCCGATTATGAATTATGAAAACGTGTGTTTGAAATAATTCAAAGTAAAGAACATTTAACTCTGGAGGGATTAAAAAAAAATAGTGGCAATCAAAGCAACCCTAAATAGAGGTTTATCAGAAGAACTAAAGGTAGCTTTTCCTCTAATTATCCCAGTACCTAGACCTTTAATTAACCACCAAGTAATACCTGATCCTCAATGGGTCGCAGGGTTTACTAGTGGTGAGGGATGTTTCCAAATATCCGTTAGTTCTTCAGCTAATTCTAAATTCAAAGTGCGAGTTCAATTAGAATTTTCTGTTATTCAACATGTTCGCGATGAGCAGTTAATAAGTAAATTAATTAAATACTTCGATTGCGGTAATGTTTATTTAAAAAAACAAGGCCAAGCAGTAGAGTACAGAGTATTTAAGTTTTCAAATATTGAAAATAAAATTCTTCCTTTCTTTACTAAATATCCTATTATTGGTGAAAAATCCAAGGATTTTTATGATTGATCTCGAGTAGTCGAATTAATGAAAGAAAAGAAACATTTAACTCAAGAAGGGCTAGACCAAATTCGCCAAATCAAATCTGGAATAAATAGAGGAAGAGTTGGCTAATAATAGTTAGTTTGATGGAAGGTAGTGACCTAATGGTGATGGTAATTTTGATATTAGATTAAATTCTACTGGTAACAAAAGAGTTCTTAAACAAATTAGAATTAAGTTACATAATAGAGATATTAGAATATTAAAGCGTATACAGGATTATCTACATATGGGTAGAATTATAACAGATAAAAATAAGCCTTATTCAATTTATATAGTATCTACTAAAGAAACTATGATGTATATACTTAAAAATATTAATGGCTTAATTAGACTTAAAGTACCTGGGTTTAAAGAAGCTTGTAATTTATATAATCTAGATTATATTGAAGCCAATTATAGCCTAGGTTTATACGACCCGTATTTTGCAGGTTTAGTAGATACTGATGGTAGTATAGTTTTTAATTATGCTGGAAATAGAATAGAATGTAATTTAGAATTCCAAAATAATGAATATACGTCTAAATTAAATTTCGATAATACTATATTAAATTGTAAACCAACTATTATTAAACGTAAAAGATCTTCAGGTCTAACCGGCTCTAAAGACTTGGCGTCTATCGCATTTAAATTTCAAAGTGTTAATAATATGCTATTTATATATGATTATTTTATGCATAATAGACTATATTGTGATATGAAATTTTATAGAGTAACTAAAATTAAGCCTTTTCTAGAAATTAGAAAATATAAAACATCTCCAATAAATAGTGTAGAGCATAAAATATACTCAGACTTTATGATAGATTGAATTAAATATGATAATCCTTCATGATATAAAGTTCCTTTTGTTAACAAATATTTGTTATATAAGGATAAATAGTATATTTATTACTGGTAAAGATACAGTCCACAATTTATACTGTATGTATAAGTTGCATTTCCACTACGTTTTAAGTATGGGAGCAGTATTTGCATTATATAGTGCATGATACTTCTGAATACCTAAAATACTAGGTTTAGATTATAATAAAATGTTGGGTAAAGCGCATTTCTGAATTTTATTTATAGGGGTTAAGGCAATTGGAAGAATGTATTTTTTTGATGCAAGCAAGATGTCAGGTAAAAGATTTAATCATGATTTAGCTGGTCCTGGTGGTTCACCTAACAATAATTTTGTGATGTTTTTTTATAATGTTCAAGAAAGTAAAAGAGCTATTTATAAAACTTTAAAAGGAAAATCTGGAGTATATTTATTTATAAATAATATAACTAAGGATTTATATGTGGGGAGTAGTATTGCTTTATCTAAAAGAATGACTTCTCACTTTTACCTTGCAAACTCCGATAAGGCTACAAATATAGTATTAGCTAGAGCAATGAGAAAGCATGAATTAAAAAATTTCTCTTTGGGTATATTAGAAATTTGTGCTTCAGATACTATAGTCTGTTCGGAGTTAGAACAAAAATGAATGGATTATTATAAACCTAAATATAATGTATTAAAAGTTGCAGGTAGTTCATCAGGTTTTCATCACTCTATTGATACTATAAATAAACTAAAAGAGCAATTCAAAAAAGAAAGTCACCCAAAATACGGTACTGTTAGTTCCCATCCCCACCCCCCCTGCGGGGGGGAGGGGAAGGAAACAATAAATGCCATTGCCCAGGGTATTAAAGAATTTTACCTTACTCGTAGTCATCCCTCTAAGGGATTAAAAGGTAAACTTTCTCCCCAGTATGGTATAGGTGGTAAATCTGTTTTTTGCTATAACCAAAAGGGTGAAGAATTAATATTCCCATCCATTAATGGAGCTAAACAACATTTCCATGTTAGATGAACACTTATAAAAAAAAGTATAGACACCGGCCAGTCAATATCTTTAAACGGGGAACCGTGAATTATACAATCCTTACCTCGTCCAGCATGTTAAAATATGCCACATTAGCCCCTCTTAACCTTTCAATAAGCTGGAAAATCTCACAAGGCTTAAATACTTATTAATTATTTCATAATTAATAAGTAACAATTTTAAGTATATCTAGACAATCAGCAGGAAACGTACAGATAATATTAAACTATCTTGGCAGGATCCTTAGAGACTACACGAAAGGAAAGTTATACCCCGGTATAATTTAAGATATAGTCCACACTTATATGATAATAAATTTATCATATTTTTGTAATGTAACATTCTTCCCTCTTAGGTTGGGGGCCTACAATAGAAATTTTGTAGCGTAAAAGGGTAGATATAATAAACTCCCTGAAAACTTGGCAAATTGCTGGAAAGACGTCTAATCTTAGACCTAGTTATTACGACTAATCAGCAGGCAATCTTTCTTAGCTACACTAAGTAAAGAGGCTTCAACGATCATACGCCAAGTACCTGATACCTTTATAATTAATGTCTTATTTAGGTATGGTAATTATATGATCTACAAATTATTGGCGACAAATAAGCACTGATAATTTATCTCTTCTAGATTCACCTAAAATTTTTAGATCTAGTTCTTATAACTTGAGTCTTCGGTTACAAAATTTGGCAACTATGATACCAAAACGCTCTTACTCTACTAGTTCTGTTTTTAATACCTTATCTGAAGTTAGTAATATAGATAATAATGAATCAATTGAGTTTGGTTCTCTTGAACAAGCATGTGAACAAATTAAATTCAAATACTTAGGAGTTTCAGGTGTTTATAAACTAACATCTAAAAATGACCCTTGTCGTTTTTATATAGGTAGTTCTATTAACTTAGCTAGAAGAATGGAGGAGTATAATAAATTAACTAAAGGTTTACGTAATCCTCATTCAGCTTCTGAACTGGAAATATCCAAAATTTCAGCTTTAGATTGAAGTTTAGAATTTATATATATTACTACTCCACAAACTTCCCTAGTTTTTGAACAATATGCTATTATTAAGTTTAAACCAACTATTAATAGTCATTATAAAGTTATTCCAAGGGTAAACCCTCAGTGAGGTAGTTTAGATAATGCTATTTTAACCACTGAAAAGTTACTATTATTATTCTCTAAAGGTTCTGAAGGTTATAATAGATTAGTTGTCTTTCTTCAAACATTTAAAACAGCTAATCATTTAAAATACACATCTGAAGACACAGATAATAAATATTATTGTTTTTTAGTTTTTGCGTATCTTGTTAATTCACCAGATAAAGATCCTATCATTTATTCTTCAATAAACAGGGCTTTGAAAGGATTACAAATAAGTCATAGTGCGCTATTAAATCATATTAACAATAAATACCTTTATAATTCAAGTCTTGTATTATCTTTTGAACCTTTACTTGTAGATAATCTTTTGGAATATAAAGAAAAACCTGCAGGAGACAACCAACTTAGAAAACACATTGTTGTTTATAATCAAAACAATGAGGTAATAATAGAATTTAAATCTGGTAGAGAAATGGCTAATTATTTCAAAATCGATGGTAAAGTAGCAAGAGCTGCCATAGCCCAAGGTGAGTACCAAGACTTTTTACTAATATCTAGAGAAGTGTCCAACCGTAAACCCATTTATGTATTTGATAATAATTCACATGAATTAATAAATGAATTAAAAAGTGTAACTAAAGCTTTGAAATATGCTAAAGTTAATTATTATACATTAAAAAGTTTGATCGAGAGTGGAAATTCTTATGATGGTAAAATATACAGTTATAAAGATAAATTATAATTTTACAATGCGTACGTTGCTATAAAAAGCAACATTTCTTAGGTCTGCAAGGAATGCCACGTCGAATAAGTGATTACCCCGATGCATTTGCGGGATGAAATTTAATAAGTAGTTTCGGATCTATTATAAGTGTAGTGGCTACTGTATTATTCTTACATATAGTTTATGTTCAATTAGTTGAAGGTAAAGCTACTACAAGATATCCTTGATTAACACCACAGTTCTATAGTGATAGTTTACAAACACTATTAAATAGAAGTTATAACTCATTAGAATGAGCCTTAACTAGTCCACCTAAACCACATGCTTTTGTAAGCTTACCCTTACAAAGCCGCCTTTAGTATTCATTCTATATTTACTGGTTTTGGTGTTGCATGTAAATTTGCTATAGTAGCGGCCGCCCTTAAAAACCCAAGCAATCCTCACCTATGAGACGCTGTTCAGGCTGGGGTGGTCAAGCTGTACAAATAGGTCAATACCTTCTGACCCAATCGGGTAGCATTTACAATGTAACCGCTGAAGCTAGCATATCAGTACCTTTACATGATATATTATATAATCTCCAACAATTAGAAAGTCTTCAATCTGAATTCTTATCTAAGTACTCTTGTGCAACTGTTGCAGGCGCGGCAGCTGTTAAAGCAAAAGCAGGGGTTGCTGCTACTGTCCCCCCGAAGGGGGGGAAAAGGGGGTTTTGCGTCATGAGGTATTGGTTATAAAGTATTAGCAATAAGTGATTCAGTATACGGAGTTTCTTGCGTGGGGTATGGTACGCATGCCATATTCTTCGTAATTAAGCAGGCTATTTGATTCTAATACCTCGTTTAATAGATGAAACTTTAATTAAAACATTAAAAAAAAAAAAATAGTTATCCTATATTGTTTATTTTAATAATATAATGAAGGCTCTAAAATTATATATAATTTACTTAACTTAATATTTTGTTTTAATATTATTTTATATTAATTAATAAGTTAATTTAAATAATTATAATAGATATTTAACCTTACATATATTTTATTTTTATTATTTTGTATCATACTTAATAGAATGAGCATTTAGGTATATGAAAGTACCGGTAATGAAGTAAAGCCTTAAACTTATATTTAAATAATTTTTAATATAAATCCTAGCGGTGATACCGACTAGAAGGCTTACTGTTAGACATCTAAAGGGAGAAGCATTGTTTACAGTTTAAAGCCCTTTTAGATGCTAAATTCTCTAAGCTATATTGTTTAGTTATTATAGTGTTCATAAAATTCATAAGCTATTGGCAAAAGGTAGATAGCTATTTTAGTTAAAACACAATTACTCCTTATAAACTTAAATTCAAAAACAAATTATGTGGTTAAACCTGTCCGTAAGATCATGCTGCCTCTGACTCTTACAAAAAAAAACTTAAATCTTACTAATTGCTGGAAACTCTAGTTATAACTAGACAATCAGCAGGAAACCTAATGTATACTTTTATACTGTAGGATCTTCAGAGACTAGACGTAAGATGTCCTATAAAAAGGATAAAAATATAGTCCATGTACATTTATGACCATAGGTTGTGATAGTTTATTAAGGTTAAAAGGGGTATTAATTAAAATAGTTTTAACCGCATCTATTATAAAGCCTATTCATATTTTAATATGGGTTTTTAATAAAGAATTAAATAGATATTTAATTTATTATCATGATAAATTAAAAAAAATATTTATTAATGAATTTAAAGAAAAATATCGCATTATTTTAAGAGATTTTATATCTAATGTAACAAATGTAGGATTAATCAATGCATTAGAGAATTTTTTTTTTTTTAGTTTACAAGTGATTATAAGCCCTAGTAAATTATATTTTTTAGGTCTAATCTTTCTAGCATATTTAAGTAAGAATGGAATCTGACTTGAAGGTGAACTATTTACTTTAAGTCTGGAGATAAATTCCTATATATGTAATGTTTTAATTTCATATTTAGGATTTATATTGTGTGTTGATATAGTATCTTTTATAGTTTATAAACATAAGTTTAAATTTAAATATCCGTTAGTTTATAACCTTTTCTTGGTTTTGTCTAGTTTAGGTTTATTATTATTGGGTTTTTCTTTTTGTTTTTATTCTCATAAGTGTTTGGCCTATTTTACCAGTATAATAATTCAAATCTTGGAAGGTTTTTTCGTTAATACCATGACTAATCCCCGTCCTAATAGTCAACAAGGTGGTGGAGAACCTATAGGTGGAGGAGGTGTCGTTTACCTTCGCCGCCACAACAAGCTGACGTGTCCTTTTACTGATATTTTTTACCCGCTCGCCAAGGGTGCTCGGAGGATAATAAAGCACAATAAGCTGACGTGTCCTTTTTACTGCTTTTTCCCCACACTGTAAGTTGACGTGTCTTTTTGCCTTCGGCACAAGATAAGTTACATGATGACGTGTTATTTTTATATGTACAAGAAGTTGACGTGTACTTGCATGTTTACTGACCGCAGGAGAAGTAAGCCATACTAAGCTGACGTGTTGTGCAAGGCGGTGAGTATACCTTGTACAAGCTAAGCATAGTGTTATGCAGGGTTGTTTGATCAGCAATCCACTAAAGAGTGATAGTCGTGCCTTGTTGCAGAGTAGAGTCATACAATCTAGGGGCGCTTGCGCAGGCAGCAATCTTGTTTACTAAGATTGCATCTTTCATATCTTTTGGCGTTTTAGGTTGCTAACCTGGATTATAAGACTTGGCAACTGAAAAGTTTGCATAGCGGCTGCAAGGCTGCCGTGAGTAAGAAAGCTTGCAGTTGAATATTATGCAGGGTGAATGACTCACAAGCTAGGTTGAATGAGTAAGAAGCTTGGCATTTTATGTAGCCAAAATAATAAAGTACATGTTAAGGGATATGCTGTAGATGGTTCTATGTTTTGATTGCAGATCTTAAATTAGGGGTTCAATTCCTCCATATCTCTGTTTATAGATAACATATGTTATCTATAAATTTTAATAAATTTAATTATTTTGTCCTTTTTTCTCTTTTTATGGTTTTCACTATTAGTACGACTGAGCATCCAGGTCTATTGATAAATAGAAGATAGTATAATAGTTATATTGGTTCTTCTAGCATATTTAAGTTGTATTTCTGTCCCCCTGTGCGAAGCAAGATTGCTTTATTTTTTCCCTTTTTTTTAGTTATAAATATTATCTTATTACGTGAATAGTATCATATAATAATAAAAAAAAGGGAAAAAAAATAGGGGGAAAGGGTGTGATTATACGAAGGATATTAAAAATATTATTTTAATAAAAAATTTTATTAATATAATATTAATAAAATTTTATTAGTAATGGATCAGATTCCAGATTGGGATCCTTTATTATAGCGGGTTTTATTTTAATGAATATTTATAGTATTTGCTATAAAAACCCCTACTATTAAACACATGGTTATTAAAACCTCATGTAGAATCGCCTTTAAGCATAATTTTAGCTGCTATTGTTTTAAAATTAAGTTTATATAGTATTTTTAGACTTATGCTATTATTGAATTTTATTCTTGAGAAAATTTTTATTATAATCAAACTTGAAAGTTGTGTTGTTAATAGTAGTATTATGAACCATTTATATTTTATATATAAAAGAATAAAAATAAAATAATATGTGAATGAATTAAAATAATAAAAAAAAATATGTGAACTATACAGTTGTGTGTGGTGTTAGTAAAGATCATACATATTATAAATTTTATAAAAAAAAAGATCGGTAGGTAAATTCGTCCTTTTTTTTTTTAATTATCCATGTTACTTTTACTTTTATTAATAATACCTTTATTAGGTGTATTTACTATTTCTACGGGTATATCTTATAACTTAAGCGATTTAAATATTAAACGTATAAAAAAAATTGCTTTAACTGCATCTATTATAAACCTTTTTCTTTCTTTTTTAATTTTTATACTATTCGACGCTAGTAGTAATCAATTCCAATTTGTACAAGAATATCATGAAATAAGCTCTTTCGATTTTTACTTAGGGTTAGATGGACTTTCTATATACTTTGTATTATTAACAACTATGATAACTCCTATAGCACTATTAAGTAATTGAAAATCTATTCAAGATAATGTCAGATCTTATGTTATAATTATACTATTATTAGAGAGCTTGTTACTAGCAGTATTTTTAGTTTTAGATATCTTATTATTTTATATTTTTTTTGAAAGTATCTTACCACCGTTATTTATATTAATAGGTCTATTTGGATCAAATAACAAAGTAAGAGCTAGCTTTTATTTATTTTTATATACATTATTTGGATCATTATTTTTATTATTATCCATATTAACAATATCTTCAATAATGGGAACTACAGATTTTGATGCATTATACAAAACCAATTTTTATTATTCTACACAGTTGTTTTTATTTTATGGTGTTTGTATCGCATTTGCTGTTAAAACACCCGTTATTTTTGTTAACGGTTGATTGCTTAAAGCGCACGTTGAGTCTCCTTTAGGTGGAAGTATATTATTGGCTGCCATTGTATTAAAATTAAGTTTATATGGTATACTAAGAATTATGCTACCTTTATTACCTAAAGCTTCCCTAGTATGTACTCCTTGAGTTTATTTAGTTCTAGTTATAACTATTTTATACGCAAGTTTTAGTACTTTACGTACTACAGATGTAAAGGAATTGGTTGCTTACTCTTCTGTTTGTCACGCAGCTGTTTACGTTTTAGGTGTGTTTAGTAATACTATACAAGGTATTGAAGGTGGAATCTTCTTAGGTTTAGCTCATGGTTTAGTTTCAAGTGGTTTATTTATTTGTGCTGGGGGTGTTCTTTATGACAGAACGCATACTCGTTTAATCACATATTATAGAGGAATAGCTCAAATAATGCCTCTTTTCTCTATACTGTTCTTCATACTATGTCTAGCCAACGCAGGTACACCTTTAACTATGAATTTTGTAGGTGAATTCATGTCTCTATACGGTGCATTTGAAAGACTACCTCTTCTAGGGGCTATTGCTTCTTCTTCAATTGTGCTTAGTGCTGCATATACTATCTTCATGTTTAATAGAATAGCGTTTGGAGGGTCTCTTTCGAAATATATCGAGAAATCTATACCAGATTTAAACATAAGAGAGTTTTATATCTTAGTTACTTTAGTAATCTTTACTGTTCTATTTGGTATATATCCTTCTTCATTATTAGATGGTTTACACTATTCAGTTTCATCTTTAATATATAGTAATTTTAGTTAATTTAAAGTTATTATTATTAATTGTTTTGTTCTAAGACATAGAAGCATATCACAGATATATATTACTTACAAGTAAATATTAAATATTGCTTATAAGTAAATATTAAATATATTATAAAAAAAAAGATCGGTAGGTAAATTCGTCCTTTTTTTTTATTTCTCTTTCTAGCCTAAGTTACTTCAGGTAGCTTAGCTTTTTTGTGCTGCTAGGCAGCAAGAGTTATCTTTGTTTATTATCCTGTATGTGGTTAAGTTAACTTAGTTGTTATAAAATAATTGACCGAATGGTGGGATCAATATTCTAAATTTGTTTTCTACCTATTAGATGCTTATAAAAGATCTATTAATAGATCTTTTCTGTGCCCTTTCCCTGCTTTTAATTTTTTCCCTTTTTTTTATTATTATAATAAATCTTTATATGTAATAATAAAATTACTTATAAAAAAAAAGGGAAAAAATAAGGGAAAGGGCAATACCTAAAAATTAAGGGAGAAGCGTTATATTAGCTTAATTAAGCTAATATAACTTAAAGCCCGTTTATATAAACGAATTAATGTTTAAGACTTTCACGCTTGCACAAGAAATATAGTTTAAACTACTAGAGAACTTATATATTAAATAATTTTACCCTTTAACTTCTAGAAAAAAAAAATATTAATAAAATTTTAATTATAAAATGAGAATTTTTAAAAGTCATCCCTTATTAAAATTGGTTAACTCTTATATGATCGATTCACCACAACCAAGTAACCTAAGTTATTTATGAAATTTTGGTTCTTTATTAGCTGTTTGTTTAGTTATACAAATAATCACAGGTGTAACTTTAGCAATGCACTACAACCCTAGTGTATTAGAAGCCTTTAACTCTGTAGAGCATATTATGCGTGATGTTAACAATGGATGATTAATACGTTACTTACACAGTAACACAGCTTCAGCTTTTTTTTTTATAGTATATTTACACATAGGAAGAGGTTTATATTATGGATCATACAGAGCTCCTAGAACATTAGTTTGAACAATAGGTGTAGTTATATTCATATTAATGATAGTTACAGCTTTCTTGGGTTATAAACATAGCCCCAAATGGTTTAATATAAATAATAAAGGAAATACAATAAAGTATAACAAAGTAAATAGTAATAAACTGTTTAACAAAAGTAGAGTCAAAAGGGGATATTGTACAAGTTGTGATTCAAATAGTACTAAAGTTTCAGAAAGTTTAAGCACAGTAATTAGTGAATTAGGTTTAAACCCTATATATTTATATGAAAATTTAAACTTAGAAAATACTAGAAAACAAGTATTAAAAGACACAAGAGATTTAAGTGGAATATATATGATAGTTAATAAAACAACTAAAGATTATTATATAGGTTCTGCATCAACTAATAGATTTTATGCTAGATTTTGTAACCATCTTATCTATTTTAGAGGTAGCAAAATAGTTAAATTAGCCGTTAAAAAGTATGATTTAAAAAATTTTGCTTTCCTTATACTAGATTTATATCCTAATGTTGTTACCCAAGGTAATAATAAGGAATTAATGGATTTAGAAGATAAATATTTAAAATTATTAGTGCCTAATTACAATATTTTAACCGAAGCAGGTTCTAGTTTTGGTTACAAACACACTGAAGTAGATCGAAATAAGATGAAAGATATTTATAGTGACGCCAGACGGGAGAGAATTGGTAATCTAAATAAGGGTAAAAAGCTTTCACCTGAAACAATAGAAAGAATCAGGGAAAAAGCTTTAATTAGACCAGCCATGTCTGAAGAAACTAAAAGTAAGTGTATAACTAATACAAGACCTGTTGTGTTGTATAACTTAAATAGAACTGTTTACGGAAAATATTCGACTATTTTAGAAGCAGCTAAGGCCATAAACTGTAGTGAAAAAACTATTAGAAGGGCACTACAAACAGAAAAAAAATTAGTTAAAAGACAATGGATAGTAGAAGATTTATCTGATAAATAGGTTGGTATAAACTTCTTGTTAATAGTTGTTTCTAGACTAGATTACTTGTGCTTTGCTTTGCTTTGCTAGGTGTAACCCCAGAAAAATTTACTTTATCTTTATTATATATAAATCATAGTCCCATGAGTAACAATCTTTTTGTAATTTTTATAGAAAAAAAAAGATTAAAGTGGTATAACCCGACGGGGTTATAGAATAGTCTTTCAGATTATTTGGCGATATTAGTGTAAACGATCAAAGAAGTTTTATAAGCTTAAAGATCGTCGGCCATATAAAAGGTCGCGACAGACTGGGTCACTAATGGGTGTCTGAAATGATGCTTAATGTACAGGCGGAACTTTTAGTTAAATTAATTTAATTTAACTAATAGAATAAACGAATTTAAAGTTATTCTAGCTTATTCTACAGATTAATTTATAATTAAAGTTGTTTGTACGGATAAGTTTGTATTTTGTATGTTCTGCCCTATGGGCAAATGTCACTGTGAGGTGCTACAGTTATTACAAATCTTATGAGTGCTGTACCATGAATTGGACAAGATATTGTTGAGTTTTTATGAGGAGGTTTCTCTGTTAATAACGCAACTTTAAACAGATTCTTTGCTTTACACTTTGTATTACCTTTCGTTTTAGCGGCTTTAGCCTTAATGCATTTAATTGCACTTCACGATAGTGCAGGTTCTGGTAACCCTTTAGGTATATCAGGTAACTATGATAGGTTAGCTTTTGCTCCTTATTTCTTATTTAAAGATTTAATAACTATATTTTTATTTATAATAATATTAAGTATATTTGTATTCTTTATGCCTAACGTATTAGGAGATAGTGATAATTATATAATGGCTAATCCAATGCAAACACCACCAGCTATAGTTCCGGAATGATACCTACTTCCATTCTATGCTATACTAAGATCTATACCTAATAAACTATTAGGTGTTATTGCTATGTTAAGTGCTATTTTAATACTATTAGCTATGCCTTTTACTGATTTAAGTAGAAGTAGAGGTATACAATTTAGACCTTTAAGTAAAATAGCTTTCTATATCTTTATTGCTAACTTCTTAATATTAATGGTATTAGGAGCTAAACACGTTGAGTCTCCATATATAGAATTTGGACAAATAAGTACAGTTATTTATTTTGCCCATTTCTTAATTATAGTGCCTTTTATTAGTTTACTAGAAAATAGTTTAGTAGAATTAGCAGTATTAACTAAAGAAAAGCCAAGTAGATAAAATAGATAAATTATATTTATTTTTAACTGGTTGCTAAGGAAGTTAAATAGATAAATTATATTTATTTTAATCGGTCTTCCTATAGTTTTAATAACTATAAACGCTACTGGTATATCTATCTCGGATTTAAATCTTGATTTTTTAGTATTATAGCTAATTTAATAAAAGATGGTATAAATATTACACCTGCTGTAGTTGTAAGAGTAATTACAGTGTTTACCTACCCCGACCCCTAATCCCCGTGTCTCCTCCGGAGATTGGGGGTCGGGGTCGAAGTAAATAGTTCTTTAATTAGCATTATTAACATTATAGGTCTTGATGTCGAGAGAATTGGTTGGTATGTTGACCGTATCTTAGTAAGCTTAAATCCTTTAAGCTTACTTGTACCTTCAGATGTTATATGCACTATTAAGATTGTAGGATTTATTAGTAATAGAACCAAGTATTACGGGGCACATAAATTCTAACCTTACTAATATTATTAACATATTAGAACAATTAAGAGTTTATCTAGGTAGTTTAATCGTTTACAGGATCTTTGAGTACATGTCTGTATAATAAGCCTATCCCCCCAACCCCCCCTCATCTCCCGAAGGGAGAACAGGGGGTAGGGGGGAAAAGGAAATATCGTTATCTATGTTTGATCTATTATTGATTAGATTATGTCAAATTGTTGCATTAGTGCGTGTATTACGGATAAAGTATAATTTTCCTATATTTCTTTTTTTTTTTTAATCTTAATATACTTAATGTTATCGGTTAAATCTAGAGGATAAAATTAATACCATACTAATTATACCAGATAACACGCTCAGATTAGATATTTCAGGCCATGCTAATCAAGTCAATTATACACTATTACATGACTGACAAAGTTTTAATTAATGTGTATTGAGCTGTTTTAAATTGTCAATACACTACGTCAATATCTAGTGTTGCCGAATTAGAATACTTGTTATAAAATACTTATAATAGCTATTGTTAGCTTTTTCTATTTATTATATATTTATTATATATAAAGAGATCTTTTCTGAGGCATAGCCAAGACGGCAAAAAATATGGGCTTTATTATTTTAGCACTAAAATAATAAAACCCCTATTAAGGAATATGCTGTAGATGGTTCTATATTTGGATCTGAGATCTTAAATTAGGGGTTCAATTCCCCCATATCTCTGTATATATGCTATATCTATTATATACAACATATATACTATAAATAAAATTGAATAAGTTTAATAGTTCCATGTATTTTAATAATTATAAATATATAGATGAACTAACAACTAAAACAAAGGCTAAATATGTTTTAGCCCTGTAATATGCCATAAGAATTTTTCTTAAATTATAATTAAATGTAGATAAAAATGATACAAGCAGCTAAAATTATAGGGACAGGTTTAGCTACTACTGGTTTAATTGGTGCAGGTGTAGGAATTGGGGTTGTTTTTGCGGCATTAATATTAGGAGTAGCTAGAAATCCTTCGTTAAGAGGTCAATTATTTTCTTACGCTATATTAGGTTTTGCTTTTGCTGAAGCAACTGGTTTATTTGCCCTTATGATGGCTTTTTTATTATTGTACGTAGCTTAAAAAAGAAAATAAAAATAATAGAAAAAATAATAAAAAAATATTTAATCATGTATAATAAAAGACACCACAACAAAATTTATCATTATTCTCGTCATAACATTTCGTTTTTTTTGACTTCTAAGTCTCTATCTCGTATCGCAAATATTATAGCAGCACGTGATCGAAAAATTAGAGAGTTTTCAGTCTCTAATAGCTTTAATACTAATCCTTTATCTAATTCTTTATCTAGTTCTTCATCTAATTCTTTATCTAGTTCTTCATCTAATTCTTCATCTAGTCAGGAAGCAAGTGCACACGAAAACGAGGGAGTAAGCGATAACGAAAATAGAGAAGTAAGTGACAACGAAAGTGGATATAGTTCAGATTCTAATCGCTCAGCAGTATCGGAATCCCGAGACGACTATGCTCTTAATCATATGCCTACTCAGGATGTGCCTGAGGATGTGCTTCCTCGGTTTGTTAGCACGATGGAGTTAGTTGCTCGGGAATCAGAGGGCGACCCTGATATAGGGCAATTGCATGCGAATCGTTACCAAGCCTTAAAAACAGAAATGGATTCGCGTATAGAAGCAGGTATTATGCCTAGACCTAATGTAGGACAAGTAAATATTTCTTCAGAAAGTGGTGGTCCAGAGACTTCTTCTGGTGGTAGTGCCGAAAATAAAGTAGGTACTGAGACTTCTTCAGGCGGAGGTACTAATAATGTAGGCACTTCCTCTCTTTCTTCCTTTTATTCAAGTAATAAAAGGAAAAATGACGAAACAGAAGAAGAATATAGTGGCCAACCTTCAAAAAAATTCCAACAAGATTCCAGTGACATTAGGAGTGATACAGAACCATACGATTTCACAGGTGGGGATGAGTAATTTAAGCTAGTGTTTTATATCGAAGTCACAATATCTTTTAAATTTTCAGCCTTTTTCTACTTATTACTTAAAATTTTCAGCCTTCTTCTACTTATTATGTCTTTGTTTTTTCTGAGGCATAGCCAAGATGGCAAAAAGCACTGCACTTGTGCAGTGCCCCTTAACTCTTATTAGCTCAATGGTAGAGCAGGATATTTCTAATATCTAGACCTAAGTTCGAGTCTTGGATAAGAATAATATATCCATAGCAATATGGGGTATATTTTTTCACGCTTGACAATCTTTATATATATAAATACTCTTAAATAATAGGTAGTTTTTAGATAGTGTTGTTTAGATATCTTTAGTTTAAATCTAATGTGTTTAAATATATTCTCACTTAAGCTATTTTATATAAATATTATTAAAAATAAAAATTATATTATAAAAATAATATTTTATCTTTAATAAATTTACATATTATATAAATAAATGTTATATTTACCTACTTTAATCTCAGTAATTGAAGTTCTATTAGTCACTGTACCTGTTTTATTAACTGTAGCTTATGTTACAGTAGCCGAAAGGAAAACCATGGCTAGTATGCAAAGAAGATTAGGTCCTAATGCTGTTGGGTACTTGGGTCTTCTTCAAGCATTTGCGGATGCCTTAAAACTTCTTTTAAAAGAATATGTTTCACCTACACAAGCTAATTTGGCTTTATTTTTTCTTGGTCCTATAATAACTCTGATATTTTCATTACTAGGTTATCTAATTGTACCTTAGGATTATAGGGTAATATAGTCAAACTCCGGGAAGGTCCTAAAGCTTATTTTACCAAGCTTTAGCCGAAAGGTTAAAAGTGGATGAATTAATTACTCATGTATGGTAACAAGAAATAAGATACTTTTTAGAGTAATGGATGATCGCGGATCTAAACTAGTTGTTAGATCTTACCCTGCAACTGTAAAAGAGCAACGAGTAAATGGCTATAGATATATACATAACTTTTGTAATATATTTAAGATGTATTCTAATGAGCTTAGAAATAAGCTAAGGTAAAAAAAATTTGCATAAAAATTTCTACGATTCACCATTAAATGGTTCTAATTCTTTAAATGTTAATACTCGTCGTTATTATGTTACATTATATGATAATAAGCATAAAATTGACGATTTACATCTTGGTCCTTGATTTATCACAGGGTTTAGCGATGCCCTATAAAAAAAGAATAGAATGTATTTTTTTATTTATATTTATTTTTATTTTTATATTTATTTTTTTTTTTTTCTTTTTTATTGGGTTGTTTTTCTTGTAGTGTTATAAAAAGTTCCTCTGACAAATTAGGTTGAGAAGTTCAACTAAATTTTCAAATCAAACTACATGTTAAAGATTTTGCACTTTTATTAGCAATTCAACGTAGTTTAGGTGGAAGAGGGACTATAAATAGCCACCAATCTTCTTGTGCCTTTAGAGTAAGAAAACTTAAGGAGCTAATAGAATTAGTTAAATTTTTTTATAAATATCCTTTAATTTCTCTAAAAAGAGGTGATTATTTAAGCAAATTGTATCTATTATGCAATTGAAAGAACACAACACTTTAGAAGGTTTACAAAAGATTATAAACATAAGAGCAACCTTAAATTTGGGTTTATCCAAAGAATTACAGTTAATGTTCCCTGAAACTATTCCAGTTCCCCGTCCTCCTTCTTTTTTATTTTTTTTATTATTATAATATATTTTTATATATATATATTTTATTTTCATAAAAAAAAAAATAAAAAAAAGGAAGAGAAACCTGTGTAATCCCTCATTCAGATTGAGTAGCAGGATTTACAAGTGGTGAAGGTAATTTCTCTGTTTCCTTAGACAAAGGTATCTTTAAATCTCTATTGTTTAAAATAACTCAGCATGAAAGAGATGAAGTGTTATTAACTGCAATTAAAGAATATTTTAATTGTGGATATTGTTATTTAAGAAAACAAGAGAATACAATAGATTTTAAAGTTACAAAATTTTCTGATCTTAATAAAATAATTATACCTTTCTTTATTAATAGTCCTATATTAGGTGTTAAATCTTAGATTTCAAAGATTGATGTTTAGTTTCGGAAATGGTAAAGAAAGAAGAACATAAGTTAGAAGAAGGTGCTATTAAATAAGAGAGATTCCAAGGGAATGAATAGGGGAGAAGTTAGTAAATTTATATTATGAAAAGTTTTTTTTTGTATGGTCCTGTTTAGCTTTAAGTGATATTAATCTGGGTATACTTTACATGTTAGCCGTTTCTTCTTTATCTACCTATGGAATACTATTAGCGGATTTTACTATACATTTAGTTCCCTCAAATCATATCAATTTGAGTCAACATTGGGTGAATTTCAAGAAAAACTTATAAAAGTAAGTCAACTTGAAGCGAAACATTTTATAATGTGCGTTCAACGACTAGCTGATGACTTCTCCAAACTCTAATATTCCGTTTTTATGGGATAAAGAGCTTTTGAGTTAGATATTAGCCTGAGAGCCCAAAGCTTTGTTGGGTATCCCAATAACAATAATAAAAACATAGTACTTTACCTACTAGGTATAGTATTATTATCTATGGCCTGACTTTTTATACATATAGGTATTATTAGCCTATCTTTAAATAACATTTATTTGTTTGTTATTTTATTTTTCATAGATTCTACGACAGTACTGTCTTTTACTGTATACATAGAAAATATACCCGGTCTCTGCCTACCCACTGTTCTCCTTCGGGAGATGAGGGGGGTTGGAAAAAGAACCTCAAAACTATCCTGTAAGCCATTCTTTATTAAGAAGACGAGCTGTCATTGGTATTAGTAATAGAAACGACTGTTTTCTACTAGTTCGGTTTACAGAACAAAAGATAAATCCTTAAGTTGTAAGAATCTGGCGAGGCTATGTTGGACAATCAGTAGAGTTTGATACTAGTAAAATAGTAGGAGATGACTTGAAAAATTTGCATCTGTCTATGTAAAGGTACTTTTCACAGATAGAAATGCTCCCGTCAAACCATTCGATCGTACTTTAATAACCACTGTTATCATTGTTTAGATAAGATAAAAAGTCTGATTTTTTAAAAGAATGAGGATCCAAAAAGTTGTATTTATATTATACAATATAAATATAACCCCCTTATCTATTATATAGGTAGAACTACTCTATTAAAAAAAGATTCAATAATCACCTAAAAGCGGATACAGTAGTAAACTACATGTATTCTTAAGCTTAGTTGTCTGGAACATTTTTAATTTTTCTATGTAGAAGTATGTACTCCTGAAAACAAGGTGCAAGAGAGAACTATTACTTACAAAAGTATTTACCTTTATTGAATACTACTTTTTCTTCAGCTTTTTTCTGAGTCTGCTATTTACGCAAATTTAACTAGTAAATTAGCTACACTTAAATTAAAATCAGATCCTCATATTAAGGGTAAAGCTGTACCTGTTTATGTGTATGATATTAATGATAATGTATAATATAAACTATGTTAAATATGATAGTATTACAAAAGCTAGTCATTTAGAAAAAGTCGCAGGTGGTACTTTAGCTATATTTATAAATACTAATGTACCCTTTAGAAAAAAACTGTACTACTCAAAACCTATTATAACTTAGACTTGACCTTTGTCAAGTTAAAACTTCATCAAGTGTACTAAATCTTGATAGCAATATAGCTAAAGAAGTTGAGTTTATGATGCCAAAACCTTAGATTTGGTAAAGGTAGCCCATTTTTTCTAAATCGCAGGCGTCTGCTTCTATAGGTATTAGTCGTAATGTTATTAGTTATTTCATAGAACATGAAAAGCTAGGGTATAAAAGGTACATACTTATTTAGTAGACCACTCCTTGAGCCAGAAATAACCAAACTACAAGTATTAAGTGAAACGGTTAAATTGGGGAACAAACAAGCTATTTTGCTTATGATGCTCAAAGACTAGAGTTGATAATCATTCCCCTTTGCAAGTATGCAGCTTGCCGCTGCATATTTTAAGGTTAACTATCGTACAATTAGTAGACACTTAAACACCAAATTAGCTACAACACAAGACAAAAAAGATATATATATTTTTAGTCAAGAATTATCTTCAGATTTAAGAAGTGAACTTCTCAATGCTCCAGCTAAAGCTGCATACTCTCGTCAAGAATTTTGAGTTTATAAAGTGGTGTTAATAATATATTAACTTTAATACCTAACCAACCTTTCAAAACTAAGCGGGAAGCTCTTAAAGTTTTAGGTGTTCAGGTATCTATCTTTAACAAATATCTGGATTCAGAAAAAATGTACAAAGATCTCTTTATATTTAGCAGTGAAGTAACGGGTTTTGGTGTTTATACTCTAGAGGGTCCATCAAATAAATAAATAAAAAGTCACAGTTCCATTTATGTTATGGGTTTCAATTTACTCTTTTTGGTATTATGTTTCATTAGACTCCTAGGGTGAGGGGAGAGTAAAACAAAAAAAAAAAAAAAGAGGTAGATACCACAAGGTTAAGACATAGTCTAAACTATCTTGTTAAAGATAGAAGTAAAAGATAAAAACCTTTTACGTTAATAATTTTGGAAGTGCTAATAGTAAATATGCTTTCCTGGGTTCACTTAGAAGTACAGCACAATTAATAAGTATGAATTAATTTTAAGTTCTGCTATATTACTTGTAATAATGTTAACAGGTAGTTTAAATCTTACGGTTAACATAGAAGCTCAAAGAGCTATATGATTCGTAGTACCCTTATTACCTATATTTATCATATTTTTTATTGGATCTATAGCAGAAACTAACAGACCTCCCTTCGACTGGCTGCTGAGTCGGAGTTAGTTAGTTTATATGCGCAGTAATCTAGCTGAGTATGCCAGTATAGTACTTATTTGTACAGTTGCAAGTATGTTATTTTTAGGTGGTTACTTATTCAATATTATGCCTCTAGTTTATATAATACAATTTTTCGATTTCGACTTTTGATTGAATTTAACGAATAACGGTAGGGATACTTCTGTAGTACTTAATCCTGTAGTTGAAGGGTTACTTTATGGTCTTTCTTTAGGGTTTAAATCTTGTGCTCTTATATTTACTTTTATTTGAGTTCGGGCATCCTTCCACGAATACGGTTTGACCAGTTAATGTCTTTCTGTTGAACTGTTTTACTACCTATCGTTATTGCATTTGTGATATTAGTTCCTTGTATTCTGTATAGTTTCGAAATTATTCCTACGAATATTTCTTTATTTGCCTTA